CCTTTTAAAAAATAAAACATTTAAAGAAATGCAAACCATATCTTGGTAAATAATATGTACCAAGAGAAGTGATGTTGATGGTAGAGCAGAATTTCTAACTAATTTCATAAGTTAATTCAACTTTTTCTCAATAGCAATTTGACTACATAAAATTAAGAGGCAAATAAAGTGGTTTATATACTTTGGCCTAGTAACTGTATTTTCAGGTTTCTTTCTTCTTTTTTTTTTTTTTTGGTATTTTCAGGGTTCTAAGAAAAGCAATTAAAATGTGGAATCATTACATAATTATAATATTCTATTCAATGAATTATTATGCAGCTGTTTTTAAATGGTAAATATTAAAACTATATTTAATACTTGTAACGCGTATGAAAAGGGCCCCAGTGATGAGGTCATCCAAGGAATCAGGTCGAAACACTGGCAGACTAAGGTCTAAGGGCCAGAGGGCTAGTCAGGTCAGCTGTTTTTTCCTTTCTCATGGAAAGAATTAATTTCTGTTCCTTTAAGATAATGGGGAATAAATGAAGAGAGCTTAATAATTATTTTTCAAACTGTGAACAATAAATGAGCTCCCAAACCAGCATGATTCATAATTAAAATTGCAAACAAGCTAAATGTCTCCCAACTGATAGAAACAAAATGTGGTATATTAGCGATGAAAGGAACGTAGTGATACATGCTATGACATGAACTTTACAAATTTTATGCTATATTAAGAGAGTAAATTAGTTTTTGCCCAAGGTGGAGAGGGCTAATAGACCATCTCTTTGCGGGATGTTGAAACGGCCTACAATTACAGTGACGGTGCACAACTCTGCGAACATACCGGGAAAAAAAGAAAAATCACTGAACTAGAAACTTAAATGGATGACATCACCAAGATGCCAACATAGGTTCTTCCTGACCTTGCTCTCTCTCATTAGAATGACTAACAACGATTCTAGAACAAGACGTCATGGAGAGAACCCTAGAACACAGGGGTGAGGCTGAAGCACACCTCCCCTCTACCCTACGCCACAGAGACCAAGACACGCTGCAGTTAGAAGTAAGAGGAACAGCGACACGTTGCATGCACTGTCGCTCCCCCAGGCCAGGGCAGCACCATGCGGAGAGGCCTCTCCTGAGCCTCCAATTCTTGCAGCAGGAAGAGAACCCAAGGGTGACGACCACTGTGGGTCACGTTGCAGGAACCTCTGCTCTGATCCTGCACCACAGGGATTGCAGGGGAATCTGCAGGGCTCAGCCACTGGGAATCTGTTTGTGACAGAACACTGGAGGGGAAACACCCGGGCACACCACACAGATCTTGGCAGACCGAGTGCGCACCTGTAGTACCCAAGTAGTAATCTCAAGCAGCGGCACTGCTCACCTGCAGACCCAAGTTGGGGATGCTCTCTAAGGACCTTGCCAGGGTGTAGATCCGCCTGATCTGGAGCCTCAAACAAGAAATTTTGCTAGCCTTAGAGCCTAGCTTGCCCAGACCCGGGCAAAGAGTTGAATCACAGCCCCACCCACCATGGAGAGTGTCTTGCAGTCCCATCTGACCAGAAGGGCTGGCCACAACTTCTGGAAGCTGTGTGGCCACAGCAGCGCTTGACGTGAGAGGCAGGTGGGCAGAGCTCATTGCCCTCAGAGCAAAGTCAGTGCCGGTCAGGGAGAGTTCCTATGCTACACACAGGCAGGGGGATTAGTTCAGGGCCAAGTCTGAGGATTGCTCATGGCCCCTCCCAACTGAAGAGCCTTGACTTGTATCTTGATAACGATTTTTTTTTTTGATATGATACCTCAAGCTCAAGCAACAAGATAAAAAACATCAAACTAAAAGCTTCTGCATAGCAAAAGAAACCACCAACAAAGTGAAAAGACAACCTACTGGCTGGGAAAAAATATTTGCAAACCACACATCTGATGAGGAGTTAATGTCTAAAATATATAAGGAACTCATACAACTCAATAGCAAAAAACTAAATAACCCAAATCAAAAATGGGCAGAAGACCTAAGCAAACATCTCTCCAAAGACGACCTATAGATGGCCAACACATACTAGAGAAGATGTTCAATCACTAATCATTAGGGAAATGCAAATTAAAACCACAGTGAAGTATTACCTCACACCTGTTAGAATGGCCATCATCAAAAAGACAAGAGAGGGGGCGCCTGGGTGGCTCAGTCGCTTAAGCAACTGACTCTTGGTTTCAGCTCAGGTCATGATCTCAGGGCTGTGAGATGGAGCCCCACATCGGGCTCCATGCTCAGCAGGAAGTCCGCTTCCCCTCTGCACACCACCCCCACCAGCTTGTGCACTGTCTCTCGCTCTAAAATAAATAGATG